AAGGAAACAGTTGGTCCACTAAAGGGAGAAGACAGCAAGGAAATAACAGGCAACAGAGAGAAAGCAAAACTGCTTAACTCATTTTTTGCATCTGTCTTAACGCAAAAAGAAACTATAGCTCAACCCACCAAAAACATAACTGTAAAAGACAGACCAGAAATAAAAGTTAAAATAAGTTTAAAAAATATTAAGAGAACACCTGTCTGATCTTGATGAAAACAAATAACCGGGGCCTGATGGATTACATCCCAGAGTTTTAAAGGAGATGGCAGAGGTCATTTCAGAACCACTGCACCATATCTTTCAAAAATCCTGGAGCACCGGGGAACTACCAGAAAAGAGCAGATGTGGTTCCCACCTTCAAAAAAGGGAAAAAAAAACAGACCAGGAAACTATAGACCAATCAGCCTAATATCAATACCCGGGAAGATACTGGAAAAGATAATAAAAAAACAGATCTGCCAACATCTAGAAACAAGTAAAGTAATAACTAGCAGTCAGCACCTGTTTGTTAAGAACAGATCATGCCAAACCAATCTTATTTCATTCTTCAACACATTGACTAAATTAGTAGAGCAGCAAAAGACTGTGGACATAATATATTTAGATTTCAGCAAGGCATCCGACAAAGTAGACCAAAACCTACTTCTTAGTAAGCTAAAAAAAATTGGAATAGATAGCACCACCACTAGATGGACTCGCAATTGACTGGCAAACCGTACTCAACGAGTGGTCCTTAATGGGTCTAAATCTACATGGAGGGAAGTAAGCAGTGGGGTGCCACAAGGTTCCGTCTTAGGCCCAGTATTCTTCAATATCTTCATTAACAACTTAGATGAAGGAATAGAAGGGGAAATTTGCAGATGATATTAAGCTGGCAGGAATAGCTAACACCCAAGAAGATAGGCTCAAGATCCAGATGGATCTTGATAGACTAGAACACTGGGCCATATCCAACAAAATGAAATTCAATGTAGAGAAAAGTAAAGTCCTACACTTAGGCAAGAAAAACCAAAAGTACACATATAGACTGGGAGAAACCAGGCTCAATAGCAGTAACTGGGAGAGAGATCTTGGAGTCTTAGTGGACAACCAGCTAAATATGAGCCAGCAGTGTGCAGCAGCAGCCAAAAAAGCTAATGCTGTTGTATTAACAGAGGGATACAATCAAGATCAAGGGAAGTACTAATACCACTCTATAAAGCCTTAGTAAGACCACACCTGGAGTACTGCATCCAGTTTTGTTCACCACATAAAAAAGATGTTGAGACTCTAGAAAAAGTACAGAGAAGAGCAACCAGGATGATTAGGGGACTGGAGGCTAAAACATACAACAAACAGTTGCAGAAACTGGACTTGGCTAGTCTAGTAAAGAGAAGGATCAGGGGAGACATGATAGCGGTCTTCCAATATTTGAGGGGCTGCCACAGGGTGGAAGGGGTCAAGCTGTTTTCTAAAGCACCTGAAGGCCAGACAAGGAATAATGGATGGAAACTGACCAAGGAGAGATTCAACCTCAAAATGAGAAACTCTCTGACAGAACAATCAACCCATGAAACAGCTTGCCCTCGGAAGTTGTGGGAGCTCCATCACTTGAGTCTTTCAAGAAGAGATTGGACTGCCATTTGTCTGAAATGGTGTAGGGTCTCCCCCAGCTCTGGCCTCAGTATTGTCCTGCAGGCATCTGGAGTCCCTCGCTCTACAGCAGATTATGTGCAGTTTCATCAGAGGCGCAACTAACCTAAAGCCTCCTGAGGTACACAGGTACCCCACTTGGAATCTGCCTAAAGTACTACAAGCTCTCATCTCAACGTCGTTCGACCAGTTACGATCAGCCAGTACTACTTCACTGTCAAAGTGGCCTTCCTCATGGCCATCACTTTGGCCAGAAAAATATCTGAACTGGTGGCTATCTCCAATAGAAAGGACATTTGCATATTCCATCCAAACAAGGTGGTTCAGTGGTTGGGCCCCTCCTTCCTCCTCAAGGTGAACTCCTCGTTCCACAGGGCACAGGAAATAATCTTGCCAGACTTCTGCCTGAACCAACCCATGCTCTGGAGACAAATGGCACATTTTTGGGAGATTAGGGGGGCTCTCCGCTCCTACATCAAGAAGACAGCCTCTCTTAGAAAGACAGAATCCCTGTTTGTATCTTTCCAGCCCTTTACACCTTCAACCATAGGCCGGTGGATATGTGCATGCCTCATTAAAGCTTACAAGCTTCAAGCTCTTCCATTGCCCAGGTGAGTGACAGCCCATTTCACCAGAAGCCCAGCTGTGTGGGCAACACAGGCCTCTATTGAGGATATGTGTAGGGCAGCAACATGGTCTTCTCCATCCCCATTCATAAAACACTATAAATTGGACACCTTCACTTCAGCTGAAGTGGCCTTCTGCAGACGGGTGCTTCAGAAGGTGCATATAGATTTGGGGACTCGGGACCAGATTGCTACCCACCCTTAGGACAACCAGCTTTGGTATGTCTCACTCCTTGGATTCTCTACTCAGCACACTGGAGAAGGGGCGTTGGTCTTACCTGATATCTCCTTGGTGTGCTGAAAGAGAATCCACCCCCACCCTGTGACCGTCTGGTCTGAAGTCTAGGAGGGGTCAAAATCAGCACTGGAAATATGTCAAGTCAATCACTATGCCTTCATCAAAATTGAGCATGCACAGGCAAAGGAGCGTGACCAAAAGATTGATTGACTCAGTCTCTGAGCAGAAGAGCAGAATTAACCCATTCCTTGGTTCTCTCTCAGCACACTGAGAAGGAACGTATCAGGTAAGAACAATGTCCCTTCTAACAAATATCTGTGATCCATTCCAGCTTCTCCATGTTTCTTTTAAAGTATGTATTTTTTCTCTTTTACTACACCTATTCTTTGGAACAACATTCCTCTCTGAATTCCACATGGCCCTTTTCGTGTTCTTTGCACAGACACTGAGCTAGGATAATGTCTGCATCTGCTATTTATTATGTAATTTAGTAATTGAGAATGTGTTTGCCATCCCAGTGTTGTTGTTTTTTTAAAAAATTAACTGTTCTTAAAGTACTATATGCTGTCCAGAATAACTGATAAGAATGTGGCCTTAAATATTGAAATTATAAAGAAATATAAATGAACAAACTGGGCACAGTACCAAGTGTAATCAGTCCAGTGCAGAGGAGAGGGAAACTTTTAGCACCCGACAGCTACCCACAGTACTTTTGTGAATATAGTCCCAGATTATACCAGCCTTTTTTACCTGTTGCATCTTATTGTGTGCTGTTATTCAGCTGGTGGTTGGATAATTCTCCAAGTTCCTTTCCATAAGACTGCTGCCAAGTTGGATCCCTGCAGTCCTGTATTTGCAACTTCTACCTGGTCCTCACTACTGTATCTCATTCTGGAGTTTGGCAAGGGTTCAGTCTTACTAAGTATATATTAAATTATGGTTTTATTTTCTGAAGTATTAGCTAGTCCCCGTACTGCAAATTTGTTATCCATTCCTATCATTTACCTCCTCTAAATCATTTATAAAGAGTAACAGTGGACTGAGAATGGTACTCTGTGCAACCCCTACTTGAACTTTTCTTAAGGCTCAACTATTTACAAGCATTATTTGGATATGATACAATCAGTGGTAAATCCATAAGACTACAGTATCCTCTAGCTCAGCGGTCACCAATTGGTGGGCCATGAGAAAATTTTGTTGGTCCGCAGAAAAAGTATTTGCATTTTTTATATTACACTAAATCAGGGGTCCTCAAATTATGCCTCCTGGGCCAGATACGTGCAATGAATGTGTTGCTGCCGAGAGTTTTTCCATTGAGGGTCATTTTGTGTGGGTCGGAGGGGGAAGAAATTCCGACTTGGGGTCTCCTTCAGCCTCCTGGTGCAGGACTTTGGGCAAAGACTGGAGGGAAGTACCCCTGGTGGTGAAGAGCCAGAGGGCCTTGTTTCAGTGGGATTGAATCATGGCCTGGAACTGGCTGAACATCTCAGCCCACTGAGCCTCCAGGTGCCGATATCTGGCCTTGCACTCCTGCAGGTCTTCCCTCTGCTTTGAAAGCCTATACTTGTAGTCCTCAGTGAGGTGCTTCTGCTGAGCCTCCTTCTCGGTCAGATCCAATTTGAACTGAGCCAACTGTTTTGCCAACTCTTTCTTGTGGTGGCTGCTTAGTTCCAACAACTGCTTCCTGTTGAGGTCCTAAGGAGCCCGGGTGACCTGTTGAGGAGTGGCTGGGAGGGGAGGAGCGAATAGAGGCTGGCAAGGCGCCCCTCGACTTGAGTGACATTGAGTTCGCCACCCCCACCCAGTCACATGACCACCTAGTCACGGTCATCCAGTTGGGCATTAGACAGTTCATATTAGTGGTCCGCGAGATTTAAAATTAAGAATTTAGTGGTCCCTGAGGTCTGAATATATAGTGACCCCTGCTCTAGCTCATATACATCCATCTTGTCCACAGTTGATAATATTTTAATTGTATAGATTATTACTTTGTTCCCTGATTTCCTTTTGTAAAAAGACACAGCTATTCAGACCAAAGTAGAAATGATGCTTCATGGCCATACTGATTACAATACTGGATTTCAGTAGCTGAACATTGTTGCAAAATGATACATTATATGAGATGTTCTGAATTGATGTATGCGTGGGATAAATCTCCTAAGTACTAAGTTATTTAAGAAAGATTTAAAGTTGGGTGAGAAGTCTTCCTAGTCGGTTGGACTTTTGTTCAGCTCTGCAGGCCTAACTCTTTCAAAATCCTTGTTCTCCAGAGAAGATTTTGAAGGTATTCAAAGAAGGAATGGAAATAGTTCATCTTTATTCTTTTATTGGAAACTGTTTAGTCAATAGCACAATTTAATGGGAGTTTACCTAATTAAATTTGGAAATCAACTGCACATAGTTTTTGAAAGATTTTAATTGAATAAATATGCAATCTAAGGGTGTGAAAAGGATAAGCATTTATCTCAATTATGTCATCTTTTTTTCTTCCCCAAATATAGGGAAGTCGTGATAACATGAGTATTGTTCTAGTTTGCTTTTCAAATGCTCCTAAGGTCTCAGATGAGGCAATGAAAAGAGATGCAGATTTGGATAAACATTTGGAATCACGGGTGGAAGGTAAGAAGTTGACTTTTATTTTAGTCTCCTCCCCGCCCCCTCCGGTTAGATTATTTTCTTACAATGGTTGAGGCAACTTGAAACATAAATGGACTAGAGTATAGGAAGGGAGCAGAAAACAGAATGTGGTGAAGGTGCACCTAGATCACCTGAGTCAGAGCAACCTAGAGTAGATGCTGATGCAGCAGCTTGTCTAAGAGCTTGCTGTTTGTTCAGTAGAACAAAGTTTTTTTATCTTGCAAAACTTTAAACTTATTTCAATTGGACTTGTTAGTTCATTGCTGGTGTGAATAGTTTCTTATTTATATAATAGCATAGAAAACTTTTTTCTAAAGAGCATGAAATGTGAATAGTTAGCTGACAAATACTAGACAGTTTTGTTAAAACCTTATAACTATGTCAGCTGCAGAATGTGATAAATTATAGAAATACTGGAAATGTCAGTTATTTGAGGAGAATTTTCAGGTTAATAATTATGCTTTGTGATCCTAATAACTTCATGGACACAACTTTGCAGTTTACTTCCCAATAACCAGAAGTGGTTGGCTTTCAGTTCTAGAATTTTGTGTCCACTCCCCAGTGCAGAGAGATAGGGCCTATTTAGTCAGCCCATCCTAGGAAATTGATGGGCCTGTTAAGTTCAAGAACGAGCTTGGGAATTTTCCGAAGCTTTGGATCACAATTTGGTCAATTGTGGCCAAAGCTTAAAATGAGCATATAATGAGGGCCTTGGAATTGGCTCATCCCTATCTGGATTCCTTTTGGTTGTGGATCCCAGAGAGCTCCTTGTCTTACCAAAGAGTTGTGGGAGTTCAAACAACACAAGGGACACATTGACTTGCTGGCAAAAGATGAAGTGCAAGGCTACAAGTACGAGCCTTTATTAGGACTTACCTTGTAAGTGTAATGAAGTGAGTTTACTTCTCTGCTCTTGTGTCTGCAGATAATCAGCTGTTGATTCTGTTTAGGATGACCAGATCTCTTCTGGGTAAGGAGAGACTGGGACAGCCCATGTTTGGCTTCTGTGAAGAATGTTCTTGGCATCTGTCAAGTAAAGTTAGTCAACTTGGCATAGAATTGGCTACTGGCCTGGAAGTCTTATGAAAGTGATGGTAGTATGTCTGAGATCCATTATATAGAAAAGTCTGAGCTTGTTACTCCCAAGGAAATAGATAGAATCATCCTGATTGGTTAAGGGCCCCTGGAAAATAGTATGCAGTGGGTTCATGTGATTATTGCTTTATTGTTGGAGTGGGAGCACCTTCCTTGAAGGAAAGGCAGCAGTATATGCACTTCCTCAGAGGTCTTGGATTCAACTCTGTTAAGACAGCTTTTTGCTCAATTTCCAACCCATCCTTTTAGAGAAGACAGTAGTCGGTGCTCAGCTCACCAAATTAACTGAAGAAGCAGAACCTTTTCAGGCAAGGCTAAGGTGAGGTTACGGCACTGAGATAGCATTTTTCGTACTAGTGGGTAATCTCTGGAGGGCTTTGGATGGTGGCAGTACATCCATTTTGGCCCTCCTAGATCTTCCAGCAGCATTCAATATCACTGATCTTCGTATCTTTCTGGACTGTCTCTAGGAATTGAGTGGGGTTTGTTTGTAGTGTTTCTCCTGTCTAGATTCAAGTCAGTATTGATGGTAGTGGTAGGTGGCAAGTCCTAGCTCCCCCCCCCTCCCCATGTTGTGGAGTGCCTCCAAGCTTAACTCTTTTCTACCTACTTTTTAAAATCAACAGGATGCTGCTAGGAGAGGTTATCAAGCACCATGGAATATGGTATCATCAGCTGCTGATATCCAGTTGCACATCTCTTGCTATTCCTGGCTGCCTAAGCAGCATTGTCCCAGAGTTGTCTCAGTGCCTGGAGGCTATAAATATTTGGGTGGGGAAGAGCTGGCTTTGACTCAACCAAAGCATGACAAGAATGGCTATGAGTTTTTTTGTTCCCCTTTTATGTTCAGGAATCATCTTTCAGGAATCGTCACCATGGTTGCACTCCCACAGGCAGAGCTGGTGCGCAGTTTGGGGTTGTTGCTGGATTTGTTGCTCTTGGTGGAGGAGTAGCTGGCAGTCCTCTTAGTTTTACTTTGCCCTATTCCTGGACTAGGACACCTTGCTCATGGCCCTAGTCACTTCCTGGTTGAATTTCTGTAATGTACTCTGCATGGTGCTGCTTTTGAAGACTCATCCAGAAATTACAACTGATCCAGAATGCAGTGGTGCATGAAGTTTTCTGGGTATCCTATGGTTTGCCCATGTTGCACCATTGTTGCTTAAGCTGCACTGGTTTCCAGTTCTTTCTTGGGTGCCACTCAAGATGTTGATTACTTTTAAAGTCCTGAATGACATGAGTCCATGTTATTTGTGGGGCTGCCTTTCCCTGAGGGTATCTGTACACTTTTATCAGGTCTCATGGGGTGGCTATATGCCAGTTCTCATCCCTTAAATGTTGCCATCTAGCAGGACCTAGCAGTACAGTATGCCTTCCCAATTGCAACCTTTGCCCTTGGAACACCCTTTGCCCTGACTTCAAGCAGACTCAACTCTCTTGCCTTCTAAAAGGACCTGAAGACCTGGCTTTTCCAACAAATGTTGGAGAAGTGTATGTCTGGAAAGTTGTTTTGGGGTGTGAAGGTTGCATTGTTTTGTGGGAGCACTAGGTGTTATATGACAGTATTATGCTTTTTATTATTATTTTTAAGCCCCCTATCCAGGTTTATGATGTATAAGATGGGCAGCTGTATAAATCTAATAAATCTTTCTGACTTTCCAGTCTTGCTTACAGCATTGGTATTTCCTGTTGTTCCCATCCAGTGATGAAGGATGTTGGGTTTATAGTTTACTAGCTGATAGAACCTATACTGCTCATACGTGTCTGCTTAACAAATGCTGTGATAATAGGAACAGCCGTAGATTTTACTTTTGAATGAATGAATGGTCCAAAATGACCAAAGTAGTTTCTGTGCCTAAGGGAACACATAATGTCCTGGTTTCTAATCCAGCATTTAGTGGGCATAACAAAGTTGGCCCTTTGCCTTAATGTACCTTAATAGGATGATTCAGGAGCTAGTACACATATTGTATGCGCGCGCACACAAACCAATAGTTGGCATTTATTTTTTGAAATGAATTTTTAGATGTGATATGTTTGTTTTCCTATCATAGTTTCAGCACAGGTAGCAATATCAGTAAGCTGGCTTGAAGTATTTTAGAAGTCAAACCTTTAAAATTTCAGCTGAATATATATAATACGAGCAGTGATGTGACTGAAAAAAATGAAAGTAATTCTGAATAGTTGACAGAGTATATGAATTAACAGAATGTACACAGAAACTTGGACGAATCAGTCATGAAACTAATTTTTAATTGAAGAATAACGTAACATGTTTTAGATTTTGTTTATAATGTTGGCCTGCAACTATTATGACAGTATTATTTTCCATAAAAGTTTACCTGAGATGAACCTCTGAAGGGTGTTTGCAAAAAAGATAGTCCCATAATCCTAGCCAGTATCACATTCTGCCCCATATCGGTAGCCATTATTTTTTCTGCATGCTATATTTTGAAATGTTACAGGTTATCTTCTAAAAAAATGGCTAACGCATACCGGTGGCAGGTAGAATGGTAAGTTAATGTGCTAGAAATATATCATCTTTAGCTGAGGATATTTGCCTGCTAATATGAGCAAGAACTCTGAGGGAGATGGGCAGTTCAAAAATGTGAAAAGTAAAATAATAAACTTGCAATTATTTGTGCTCAGAATGAAAATATAATATACTAAAATAACTATACTATACTATACTAAAATAACGAAGTAACAAACTACTGGTGAAATAGCAATTGCTTAGAATATAAATAGAATAATACAGAGTAAATAGAATAGCTGTAATCTTAAAAGTAACAAAATTTCTGTTTTTGCACACAAAATAATTATTGATGGAATGTATAAAATGATTGGGATAAGCTAATAAGGATGCAATTACTGAAAAAAAAAATCATATCCTTCATCTCATACATTTGTTGTCTTGATGGGGAATATAAGACGAGGTTTTCAAATACCAAGCTAGTTGTTGCATACTGGCTGGTGAACTGCACAGTTTGATGTGTCATTATTATGAAGGTTTTGACTTAGAGAAGATGAAAAATATTAATGACAGGATATGTTTTAGTTATAATCTGGGTTATCAGGCATATTATAATACTGTACTTTTCAGAGCTGATAGTATGGTGGTTCGTAATAACATACTTCACATATCAGTAAGTAACTTTTTCATTTTCTAAGGCAAGTGTTGAAAGAATAGAAGATGTTTAAGGAGTCAAGCTGTTTTTCATCTGTTGAACTAGTTATTACATTGTATTTTAAAATTATTACAATACGTTTGAATATTTGCTTAACTGTTTAAGTGTTTTCTTTAATTTTTCTAATGTTTCAGTGTTTACCTTGCCATGTCCTTGGCATTGTCAAGAGTTAATGGTATATTATAAACTCTGTTTTATTAGCTTGTGGAGCTTATTTTCCAAAGTCATTGAGAAAAAAATAATGCATGTTATTTTCACTAGTATGGCACAAAGCTTTTTTTCCTTATGAGAGGAACTAATAATGTTATTATGCAGTTATAAAAAATTTTTTCATAGTATTACTTGTTTTTTTAGTTAATTTGAACTGTATATAGACAACTTAAATTAAGAATATAACTTATTTGCTGTTACATTTGTCTAAAACATGTTCTTGAAGAGAATATTACATTCAACCTCAGGCAAAATTATTAATTAAAATCGTGCTATTAATAGAACTACAGTTTCATGTTTATACTGTATATGGAGAGATGCTGGAATTGGAAACCAGTTAGTATTACTAGTACAAACAATATTGGATAATAGCTCAACTCTTTTTTTTTGTAAATATTAACTTGTTAAAATAAGTATTGCATTTCACATACTTTAATTCATGCTCATTGTAAAGCTTTTCTTAAGCATAGTCTGTTCTCTCCTATTTTT